TATAATTATAAAATAATTATATTATGTTTCCAGTATGCCACTCATTAAGCTTTTCTTAGAGAAGAACTTTAAAAGAACTAGAGTCTTACTTTAGAAGCATCCTAAATAAATGAATCATGTACCAGCTGAGACAGAATATAATTTATAATTTTTACCACTTGTATAATGAATTCAGGGAAACTCTGAATTGCACTGCAAGTCTAATAATGACACAAAGTGAAAATATGAAAGCAAAGCAGAGTTACCACCAGGAAAAAAAACAATTATGTCTATAATATCATCTGTTGCCTTTTGCATTGCACAGCAGTAGTATTCCCGATATTCTCACCCACATTTGGCATTTGTGCTTACTGTATGACATTAGAAAAGAAAGCAGGAATGTCAAGAGGTTAATGAGGTTGTTAATGAGGTTAGAAGGTACCATGTACTAAGCTATGGATTATTGCTCTATAAGATCAATGTGTTCCTTTAGAGTAAGCAGACTTATGGGAGAGAGGCTGGCTCAAGGGAAAAACTTAAAAATCTTGAATTCAACATCAAAACTTCAGCACAGAGTGCTCCCAGTGAAAGATATGAGTTGCTTAAGGGCCTGGCAACTGCCATGGGGGTATGAGTTCAGAGAGAAAATTCATCCATGTCCAAAAAATACATTTATATAAAATGTCTGCTGACTTGCTGTATTTATTGGATTTCCCTCTCAGTTAAACACTGTTTTGACTGTTGGCTTAGGTGTTGAGAGGCACAGACTACTTACCTAAACCAGCTTAGTTTCAACTGACCACAAAGAAGAAGCTCTTCTGCTTGGATACACAACGCAGGCTCAGCATACAGAAAGTGTATGAGTAGCCCAACTGTACCAAAAACCCCATCAGAATGTCTGGTTACAACCTGTAATTTGTAAACTACAGTGGCAAGAAGTGTAAAAAGGAGGTCCACCTCTGACCACCAATATAAAAGTATATGTAAATAGGGGTACACTTTATGCCACATGCCACTTGATAAGAGCCCCATCCAGATTTTGCTGTGGTGTCCTCTGAATTCTAGTTATGTCAATAGGCGTATTAAATACTTTATAAAGCAAAAAATCATAGTGATCTGAAAAATACATGTAAAAGATTATGAACAGCTACTGTGATTTGGGACACAATTGTTTACTTGATGATTTTGTTTAAATCACTTACTGAATAGTAGGCCTATGCCACTGTGTTCTTTTAAATTGATGGCTGACGTAGTATGTTCTGCCGAGGATATCTTGTCTCTCTTCCCAGCCTGGAGGTAGTGGAAAAGATTCCTGCTGTTGTGGCTGGCAATAAACATCTGGTTGGTCCAAGATAATCCAGCCGGGCTAAAAGAAAGACATACATGAGTTTTTACTATTGGAAGAAGTGGTACCTTAATTGGTCCTATAATCATAAGTTAACAAAACATTGCATTATAAGCTGCATAAAACAACACCGTAAAGTATAGCCCAGTTCTAAAGAATATCCCTAGGCAGAAACTTTTGGGGACATTGGGGTTATTATAGGGATGCACCGATACCAGTGCCGATACTTGGCATTTTCATGAGAACTACCAGAGTTGCAGCGGTTGTAGCTGGGACCTAGCTTTGGCGTTCTACCACTGTCCTGAAATCATTAGTCTGTATTGTTTTAGAAAAACTGTCACATGACAATTAACAAAAATGTATCAGTACTTGTATCTGTGAGTACTTGTAAAAATGGTTTCGGTGCATCCCTTTATTTATATTTATAAAACAAAATCATACATTAAAACAGAGATGTACGAATCCCAGGAGCTCTGTGTGCTCCTTACAAATGACAGCTGCCTCCTATCTTTTGAATTTTTCTCTAGTCTAGTCTTGGAGCTCGAAAAGTATCTGTACTTGTACCGAGTACGGTATTTGGTATCGGTGCATCTCTAGTTATTGACAAAAGGAAATGTCAGTTTTGTAGTGTAAATAACACACAATTTCCATGTGCCAAATTAACAATGTTATAAATGTTATAAGAAAAGTTCTATGTGGTGTTGTACCAGCTGTGCTAAATCACCTTAAAAGTGCTATGCGACAGTCTCTGTAAATGTCTGATTGCATGCACCAAAATAATGAAGCAAATTGCACAAATGTTCACATTTAAAAACAGTTCTAAACTATACACCATTACCAGAGTGGTGTAAATAGTGTAGCGATGAAGTGCATAATTAGTGTTGCTAACAGAAAGTCATTCATAATAAATTATTTTATTTGTCCTGATTTATAGGGTATATCATATGTCTGGGATTTCAGTTTATTTTGGGAGTTATAGGTCACAAAATGCAGGATTGAAATACAATTTTATTGTGGAACAATTTTAGAACGTGGTATGTTTTTCTCCTATTTAGCTTCCCCCTCCTCCATGCGACAGGAACGTTTTGTATTCCATTTTGGAGATATGTTGTTTTTTTACCAAATATATTTTCATCATTTTGTTATCTGTCCTAACATACTGCCCATAGGTATTTAAAGCAGTGCCTACATTCAATACATAGGACTTTATGACCATCAGCTTATAGTAGAACTGTAAATGCCAGGTCCGTATGGCATACTGACCTGGCCAGCTGGAAGCACTTTTGTAGGTCCGTATGCCATACGTCCTTGGCAGCGAAAGGGTTAAAGTCAAACTGGGGTAATGCCTACTTTATATTTGTTACATGTTCCTATTCACATACCATAACTTAAAATATATTTACAAATTGCTGCTTTTTTACTTGCTTAAAAATCTTACCTAGCTTTCCCTTTCTGTAATGGTAAGGAGGGGGCTGGGGAATTATGTTTATCATAAATAACCCTGTCTGTACTGTGCTGGCAGCTCTCCATTATCATTTGTAAACAAGATGTGTACACTGTCTCTCTCAGCAAAGGGTTAACGATCTCAGGGCATGGGTGGTACATGTCGAGCTGGTTCAACCATATCCAATGCATTCCTGCATGGTTCGTGCCCAAAACGCACTAGATCGCATAAATCAAGCCTCCTGCATTCTGGGGCGCGATGGTGCCATTCATGTCAATGGCACCACAGACACGCCTCCAGCTCACACTGCGATCGCACAGATTTTTTAGATCACACGACAGTTGAACGTGTGCACTGCTGTACCACGCCCTCTGGGGCACCACCACGCCTCCTCCCGCCCCAGAACATAGGAGGCTTGGTTTATGTGATCCAGTGCGTTCCGGAATTAACCATGCCGCAACGCACTGGATATGGTGTGAGCTGGCCCTTTGTGATAATAGAAGCTGCATCTATAGAGTTCTATATATAAACCTGCTCCAAAGAAATAACTATAAAGGAAAGAAATATTTTTTACCTTATTTTTAGGTATGCTGTGTGAATGGGAACACATAATTATATAGTGGGCATTTCTCAAATGTGGCTGCAAAAGTGGAATTATACTTTAAGGGCTTACATTGATGGGCACTGTTTTCCTGTGTTTTACATTTAGACCGCACGTCAGACCCCAATGACTTTTACTCAGCAGTACACATGGCAGTTCAGCGGCTGTGTTTGACCTGCTTTGTATTGTGCGGAGTTTCCTTGGATGCAGGATATCCTTTTGAGGTGCGTCTGAACTACAGGCAAAGTGGGTCAAACGCAGCCTTTTTTTTGTTAAGTTCTGCGTTTGCCATTTTCATTTCAAATAGCAATTTTTTGCCCAGCTATGTATTTATGATTTATTACAAAAAACTCTAAGGCATATTTGAAATAATTTGCAACTTGCTCTGTTGATATCCGATGCATGGCAGCAGAGGAAAGTTTGTAACCACTGTGTGCAGAAGCCCCTGTGGGAACAAGTTAGCTGCCATCACACCCTCAGATGTGATACGGAGATCATTTTATATTCAGTTTTGTTTTTTTACACTTTTTCTTCTTGGGGGTTGGATCGGGGCACGCAGAAGCATTGTAATACCATTGTATTACAGAGTGTTCTAAAAGCAGTATCAGAGGCACTAGCTGGGACATGTAGTCAGCAGCTACTGCTATTTTAAAAGAGTGTACCGAATGACAACTGTAGTTAAAGCTAAACTCCAGGCAAACATCTATATACACAGATGCAATATATATACAGCAACGTAACTGTTTTGAAACATTGAAAAATGTGCAACCTACATAAAGGGTGGTGGGACCCCCAAGGAGTCTCTGTAAAAACAAATTTCCTCAATGATCACATAATATAGACATATTCAAAAAACATATCTTTAATACATTCTATAGAAAACTATTAAAACAATTCCCAGCAACCCAGATAAAAACAATTAAAACACAGGGAGTAGAGCACCAAGTAGAGCTTATAATGGATAAATATATGAAATATAGTCCACTTGAAACATCACCATGTAGAGATCAGCATATAATTATATAAGTATTAGGGGTGTAAGCTAGGCGGTAGGTTCATATCTCATAGTAAGGAAGTATGTTGTTATTTATTTTGAGACAAGCCACTTTCCTCCGGGTACTGCAATACTTCAGAATCCAGTATAGTCTCCTTTAAGAGAAATACACAGAGCAGCATAGATCCTGATGTCACGAATAGAATTCCTGTGGTTATCATCAAACACCCCGGTCAGCAAGTGGTTAATATAATAACATAAATTTAGTACTTTTGTTTCTACTGGATAGCACAGCTCCTGCCAGGGGCAGATGCCTTGCCCTCCTCTTGGTGAATATACTGTAGATAATCATAACCCCCTTCTTCAGTTCTGCAGCCAAACAAGAGAGGTAGATCCTGCCACCTTGCTGCTTCTCTTAGGGGATAATGATAATGCGCCCATGTCAGATGTACCTAAAGTGGCCTGTTTTTTACGGTTACACACCTGCTGCCATTCTCCTTCAGCCTCAGTAAGCTGGTCTATGAGTGGAGCAGGGCAGGCTGCATAGGAGGAGGTGAACATTATGCAGCTCTGCTACTGGTGATTGAAAAACACATTGTTTTTCAATCACCAGGCTGTACGCTGCAATCCTGATACCTTGGAGCAGCAGGGTGGTGGGATGGCTGTACAATACTATTTCCCGGGACACACCAAAATAGCAGTCTTAGTGTCTGGTGTCAGTGCCGCCTGGGGATGGCTCTGGCTACTGCTGTAATTCTGCCCTCTTTCAGATATGAAAGCTGTGGGCCTCATAGAAGAATGTGCTAGGTGTTGTTTTACTGCCCCCCCTTTCTACTTTGGCCATTCACAAAATGCCATGTAATTTGTGAATGGTTCACAGAATACACAACATTGTGTATTTCCTCTCATTGTGACTTGCTACAAACTTAAAATGTTGCAGTTCGATCACTAAGGGAGAGGAAACTGAGGAAATTTTCCTCCTGCTTGCAACAGACTGTTGACATCATCTCAGCTTAGGCAAAGTCACTGTCTGTAGCTCAAAGGCAGCTTTTTAATAATAATATTACTCAAAAATGATTCTGTTGCTGTATATTGAGACATGCCAGGAATGTATTCATGCATTTACTCTTGTAAAGTTACTCCGCTTTAAGCACCTACTATAGTGAATGAGTTCATGCGTTTTTCATTTTTTTTTCTAGTTTCTAAGAACTAATAGTTTCTAGTACTAAGCAGTCATCAATCCTTCAAAAAGGACAAGAATTGATTAATACTATAAATGAATTCCTGTTTTACCAGACAGATGTGTTAAAGATATCATAATATATATAAATGGCTTGCTGCAATTATAAGAAAATAGTTAAGATTTCAGAAGCTTTTGCATTTCATTTTAAGTCTAGAGCGCAGTGGCATAAATCATCAAATATATATATGCATATAAATAACTAAAGTTATGCAACCAACCTCCATCTCTTCGCCTTGCTCTGTATTTTCGTCTTCTGATCCACTGTTTTTCGGTAAGTAAGTCATTTTTAACCTAAGATTTCCCTTGACTTTAGATTTATGACTGTTAAAAGAAAACAGACATTACTCATTATATAAGACATGTTTATACTAACACCTCTATAATAACAAGCAATAGAAAGCTACAGTGTTTAGCCATTTTATAAACAAACTGTCACAAAGACCTCATTAAATGTAGTACTAGCCAGTGTGTACTGTACTGTGCTGCTCTGTCTTTCAGAAGAAAAAAATGTGGCCACGCAAAAAGAAGAGTCTGCAAGAAAATCACTTAACGGTCGTGTCATGGTTTGTCATTGCTAATAAGCCATCAAAGTAATAAGCAAGAAGTATTTTAGGTCAAGTTCCCATCTTTAGAATGGTGTATGCAATTAAAGTTCACCTTTCATTTAGCAGTAATATTATCAAACTAGAGGGTAGGGAAAGTAGGTACCTGGTCAACTATCTACTGTTCCAGTGCTCAATGTAGACCTCAAGTCAAAAATTACGTTTTCTTTTTTCTACATATTCACCAAAGTTTACATTTCATTAACAAAGGGAATTCCGTGTCACTTTGTTGCCCATTTAACTGATTACTGCCAGGACGTTGCATACATAAGGACCATAGAGGACCATGTTGGGCAGAAGCTTAGCATGAATAATCTCCTGACATCTGTCCCTCAAAATCCTTTACATTGAAAATAACCATGTGATCAATGCCTATGTAATATCTGTTCAAACAGGCAGCTGAGGGTAGCAAAATTCCCTTATAAAGGTGCCCATACACTCTGCGGTTATCGTTTAATACGAACCCTCATTTGATTTCGGCTGGAATACCCCGTCATGCATAGTCCAATGTCTATTTAAAAAACCGTTTGTTAGCAATACTAACTCACCGAATTTTGTCGATCAACAAAACGGATTTTCGTTTGCGCATGTGCAGTGTTCTTGTGATTTTTTTTAATGAAAACGCCACCAATCCATCGATTTTCAAAAAAGTTTTCCAGTCTGACCGATCGAGGAAATTCGACCAGAAGTACAGCAATTCAAATTGTTGGGTTCCTATCAACTGATCGAATATCGTTGGAATCCACGTTCGTGTTCGATTTCCGAACGATAAATCGCAGAGTGTATGGGTCCCTTAACTCTGCAATTACACCTAAGCCTCAAAGTAGCCAGGTGATTTACAGGCATTCTCTTTTTTTTGCATGTTTGCGCCTGCATTTTGCAAGTGTTTGTATGTTCTACTTGAAGTGTCAAAGCAGAAACAAGCTTTTTTTGGCCCCATAGACTTTTAAATGGGAGCGTATGAAAAACACCAGTTTGTCAAGCGTTTTTCAGGCTTTCCCATTAAAGTCTAAAGGGCCAAAATGCTTGATTCTGCCTGAAAAATACTTTAGAGCAGGGGCGCCCACAATTTTTCATCTGGAGATCTACTTTTCAAATGACGAGCGCAATGAGATCTACCAAGGAAAAAACACCTGCATTCAGGGGCGGGGAAGTGTATTGAAGTCAACCGGCCCTCTCTTTTCTCTCTCCTTGCGCTCTCTCCTCTCTTTCTCCCCTGTTTCTATCTGCTGTCTCTTCTCTCTCTCTGCTGTCTCTTCTCTCACTTTCTCTGCTGTCTCTCCCCTGTCTGTCTTTTCTTACCTCCACTGCAGCAGCTTCCCAAGTCTCCTCTCCTCTCTCCTTCCCGTCTGCAATATCTGCCACATTCAGCCGCACGAGTACCGCAGGAGGACAGGACACAGGTCAGTGAGCCGATCGGGATCTACCAGTTTTCCCTTTGCGATCTACTGGTAGATCGCGATCTACCTAATGGGCACCCCTGCTTTAGAGCAACAGGCTATTTGCTACAGGCACTTCAGCAGTCAGATGTGAAGAGGTACCATACAAGACAATAGGATTGCTACAAATTGCTCAGGTGTGAATGCAGCCTTAAAGTCAAAGATCTTTGAGTATTATATTCAGTTATTTAACAACACAAGAGTCATTTAAATTGTGCCCTCACTTTTAATTTTACTCATGCTTTAAGACTTAAGGCTCCATTCACACTGGATCCATTGCGTTACCATCTGTTTTTTTAATGCATGGTAACGCAAGGGCAACAAGAAATTAATGCGTGTGAATGGGACAGTTAGCGTTAGAGAATCACCTGCACACCATACATTGCTTGAACCAAACAAAATATCCATTGGTGCTCGAAATGACGACACGGATGCCGCCGTGTAACAATCCATCTAAAGAAGTCGTCACCAGCACTCACATGTAATGTGCAAAAAGGATAGCACTTTTATTGATATGTCACATGCGTCAAGAAGTCAACGTTTCGGGGGCCGCGCAGGGTCCCTTCATCAGGGCGACATAATGTGCAATCCTTTTTGCACATTACAAGTGAGTGCTGGTGACTACTATCTTTACTTGAATGGGACAGTTCACACCACTGCATTGCGTTGAAAAGAAAAAAGAAGAGCATGCTCTACTTTTTTTCAGCTCAACACGTCAACAATGCATGCTAAGGTGCGTTAATGCAACGCAAGCTATGTCCACTCAGGACATGTTACCTTACCTAAAACTTTCCAGAAAAAGAAAGGAGTGATGGAACACAATGGAATGGAAAGAAATCAGGAGGTACAATCGCAAGTCAACGGATCCTGCATTGACCTGCGAGTAACTTCTGATTCCACCACCTTTCTCTTTTTGTGGGTTGAGATCGCTTCAGCGTCCCCGAGTTCTTGTTGGTGAAACCTAACTTCTCACAAGTGAATCACCTAGAGGCCTAGAGTGAATCACGCCAAGGTAACAGCCATGTATGAAGTAGTAGGACTTTATAGAACAGGAGGCAGAGTGTAGCACTGAAGGAAGGTTCTGAACACAATGCTGCTTAAAGGCAAACATTCGGCTCTGAACATTTAAACCCGACTATTGTTGTTTTTTTTTAAAGATGCAATCCAACATTTTTAAGGCATACATTATTTTATCTTCTTGCCTGTCTTCAATTTAAACCAGAATAATCTGCTGTCTATGATGACCAGCAAAATTTTAAACACTTCACAAAATTCAGCAATTCTGTTTCAACAGCTTCACTTTTTCTACTGCAAAGGTTAATATCAACAAATTGGAACTCCTCTGTACGCCAGCAAAAATACACTGATGCAAAGGAGTGTGCCTTCATAGAGTTTACCTGCTGCACGTTTCTAAACAAACTTATTTTATATAGGCGGTAACTGTAATAAAAAGCCAAATGCAAACAGAAATGCAATGAAGACAAATTAAACAGTCAGGGAATTAAGCAAACGTTTTTCAGACTTCTACAGAACTTGGTCAGAAAGTATGCAAAGAAATTCCATCTCTGTGCCCAGAGAAAACCAGAATTATGAAACACTGGAAGCATTGCCTGACATAAGGAGTGCTGTGTTATGGATTTAAAGTCTGGCAAAAAGGCCTCCTACATAAAAACAACAGAAGTAAAACTGTTAAGCTGTTTAATTGATAAATTAGAGAAAAAAAAACACTTTTCTCTTATGAAAAATATATTTATCACTTATTCTGTATACATGAATTTAAAAAGATATTCCTATTTATATAGTCAATTTAAAATGAATCATAAGAAACACAGAAGAATCACTTTACGATACATAAAACCCAAGCTACAACCACTACTGATAGAACAGGGTTAACTAAGGGTATGTGCTTATTCTTGCAAAAAAAATGTTGGGAACAGAATGTAATATTTATCATTGCCTGAGATAATAGGATAATTCAGTGAAGCAGGTGGCACTTTATTGCAGATTCACATTCTTCTGGACTTTTCTGGAACTGAATCCCTTGACTTTTTAACAGTCTGCATAGTTTTCAAAATTGCAAGGTAGGACATGGGAACGAAATCCAGCATGGCTGGACAGCTGTACTGGAAGCATAACATATTTTTCTCTTTACTTGGAATTTAAAATTAAGATGATTCATTTTATTAGGCTGGCACAGCTATTGCAAGCAAAAAAAAAAGAAAAATAAAGCCAAAAATGGTATTGGTTAGGTCCTTTGGCATTTAAAAGTGATGGTACTCTTCCTGGGGAGCCAATCAGTGCTTCTACACCACACAGAATCCACCATTAGTCACATTGTAGAAGCAGAAAAGTCAGACAAACCTGTGGCGGTTTAGGGAACCAAGAGAACCAGTGGTCAGCCAGGGCTCACACCAGCGAGAAGGAGCATCAAAACTAAAGTCAACCTTTGACTTTAGGCATACATTACTAATCAGTTAAAACCAATATAGTTTACAGATTATGTGCCAAAACATTCACCACTTCAGTACCGGCATGTTAACCCCCTGCATTACCAGGCCATTTTTCAGTGCTGTGAAAGTTGGTAACACACAACGTCAAGTCACATAACTCTGGTATGTATTATATAAACCATATTTTCTGAAACATGAAATATACTTGCATATGAAGCTTTACATATACAAATGTTTTTATTTGAAATACAATTTAAAAAGCCATATTATAAGTTATTGTAACTTATAATAACCTTATAAAAACCTTTAATATAAAAACAACTTCATAGGTTTTAGCAAAGTTCCATTGTTTTATATGAGATTCCATGTGCTGTTTAATATCTTGTGGCATTAGTTAAAGGCGAACGCCAGACAAACAGCTAAACACATGCTTTGAATAGGTACATTCTTATTGTTTTATCTGCCAAACGATTTGAAATTCTGTACAGACAGTACTGTTATATACACACACCTGCTATACTGTACAGCAACACCATTTCCCACGTCACCTCTCTGCTGATTGACAGCTGGACCAGAACCAGCACTTCTGTCTGACCTGCTGGGAGGTGATCAAGGAAGCTGAGTCAGGAAACAGTCAAAATGAACCATGAACTGCCAAAGTGATCACCCTGGTTGTGTATGTGGCAAAGATGGTTAAATCATAAAATTGGCTAAAGAAAAATGACACATTTTTGGCAGGTAAAACAATGAACATAGATATGTTATCTGTTGTGGTCCATTCCATCTGGTAAAAATAGCCTATTTTGAGTCAACAAATTTAAAATGCTAAGGAATTTGCCCCCAAAGAAGCCATTAAAACAATGTACAGAGGTAGTCTTAAACACTAACCAGTAGCTGGATAGATATACTATACAGATGAACAGTTAGAACAATCATCTGTGGTGAGACAAGAAGGGTTGTGCATGGCTCTTCTGCTTACCTTCGGGGATGAAGAATGAAGTCTTTAAATGTATATGGTCGCTCCAACCGGGGATTTTCTGTCTGAATAAACAAGTGATAACTGGTAAGACCATCTAAAATGGCAGCTAGTTTATACATATAAGCAATCTGCTTGAAATATTAGAAATTTACAGAAAGAAAAAAAAAAAAAAAAACTTAAGAAAAACAATTCCATAGTCATAAAAAAACTAAAACTCATTAAAAATGTCCAAGCGCAAAAAAGGAATACCGTATATACTCGAGTATAAGCCGTCCCGAATATAAGCCGAGGTACCTAATTTTAGCCAAAAAAACTGGGAAAAAGTATTGACCCGAATATAAGCCGAGGGTGGGAAATGAGGCAGCTACTGGTAGATAGATACCATTAAGATACATTAATATTTATTTAAAAGAAAAATAACCTAGCTCTGTAAGTGGAAAAGGGGGTACAGGGCTACATATCATGTACTACGGATCATTTAACCCATTCATGTTAGCAGAGGATCATTGTAAATGTATTGTCTGCACTGTATTAGCAGTATATACTCTATATAGAGTATATACTGCTAATACAGTGCAGACAATACATTTACAATGATCCTCTGCTAACATGAATGGGTTAAATGATCCATAGTACAGGGCTACATATCATGTACTACGGATCATTTAACCCATTCATGTTAGCAGAGGATCATTGTAAATGTATTGTCTGCACTGTATTAGCAGTATATACTCTATATAGAGTATATACTGCTAATACAGTGCAGACAATACATTTACAATGATCCTCTGCTAACATGAATGGGTTAAATGATCCATAGTACAGGGCTACATATCATGTACTACGGATCATTTAACCCATTCATGTTAGCAGAGGATCATTGTAAATGTATTGTCTGCACTGTATTAGCAGTATATACTCTATATAGAGTATATACTGCTAATACAGTGCAGACAATACATTTACAATTATACTAACATGAATGTATTAAATGATCTGTATGTAGCCCTGTACCCCCTTTTCCACTTACAGAGCTAGGTTATTTTTCTTTTAAATAAATATTAATGTATTTTAATGGTATCTATCTACCAGTAGCTGCCTCATTTCCCACCCTCGGCTTATATTCGGGTCAATACTTTTTCCCAGTTTTTTTGGCTAAAATTAGGTACCTCGAGTATAAGCCGAGGGGGGCACTTTTCACCCACAAAAATGGGCTGAAAATCTCGGCTTATACTCGAGTATATACGGTACATTGCAGCTTAGCATTCCTTTCATGTAGCGGCTGCATTCGTTTTATACCCTATATTTTCACTTACTGTACAGTATCTATTATGGAAGAGCAGCATTGTCACCCTAGGACAGAAAGTGCTTTAGGACTACAAAAAACTTCCACCTCTCCTCTTAGGAGGGATGAGTTCTGTAGTACACAGAGAAAACTGTAAACAATGATAATCGATAAGAGTCAGCAAAGAGCACAGGATGTTATCAGATGACAAGATTTTAGGGAGAGCCAACAGGTATATTTTTTCACTTATCAAACAAATAAAAAAAAAACCTTTTAATTGTATATTTAAAAAAAAAAAAAAAAGGGGGGGGAAGGAAGAGAAGTGTGAAGAAAAATAAATTTCTGGGGTTCACGTGCACTCTAAACTCTATCTACGGCCAAAACAATTTCTAAGTTTGGTTACAAGCCCCATAGGGTTTTTTTGGGAAGATTTTTCTTTACTTCCCCTATCTTTCCAAGGGACATAACAGGAAGTGACTGGAAATCTCTCCACAGTTATGGGAAATCCTGGTTATTGCCAGATTAGGTATTCATTTTCTGTTAAGGGAAAAATGGCCGCCAAGGCAGAACGATGTGCAGTTTTATCTAAATCATTGGCAGAGACAGCATCCAACAGCCTTAATTTGTTTCACATTACCATGCTTACTCATAAGGCTAATAATCATAGAGCTGTGGCCTAATTATGTCTGGAGGCCAAGGACCTTTACATATACTATATAACAATGATGTGCTACTTCGCTTGGGCAAGGAGTGGGGTCCAGCGCCAGGGATTAAGAGGTTGTTCAATTGGCTGAGGGCTTTAATGTAAAAGTGATTTGGGGCAGCTGTAGAGCCACCCAATCACTTTTATTAAAGAAGTTTTTTAAATTAAATTTAAATAAATCTAATAATAATAAAAAAAAAATTAAAAGTCCCCCGCCCCGCGAGCACGTGCGTCGCAACGTAAACACGCATCGGGTGCACCTACGTATGAAAACGACGAACGTGCTACACATGTTGGGTATCGCCGCGTACGCCGGAGTGAGAGCAATAATTCTAGGGCCAGTATTTTGGGGTATCTCTAAATTGATGACCTGTGGGGGCTTTTAAAGCGTCTATGGACTTTTTGGGGTACTGGGGTTTTTCGCCGTTTTACGGATGCACGCAATTTGTAACCTGGGCATGTTGGGTATCATTTTACTCGTTGTAACCTCATCTTTTATATTAAAAAAATGGGTGTTTTGTTGTGTTTTGGGGCATTGAATTAAATTTTTCACTAAATATTGGGGTTTAATAAGGAGTTGCGCTAATATTGCGCAACATAAAAATTTGCAACTACCACCATTTTATTCTATAGGGTCTTGGCATTCAGAAAATATATAATGTTGGGGGGTTTTAAGTAATTTTCAGGCCTAAAATGTGGAATATAACATGGGTACAAAAAATGAAAAAAAGGCCTCCGTCATGAAGGAGTTAAGGAACATCCATTCCAAGATGTCCTGTGGAAAGTGTGAACCAAGCAGTGCTCATCTATGAGACGGATGGCAGATCACATGACCTGTCGCCCGCCTTCCTGTGAAGCTGGTGTTCTAGCAGAAGAACACCGGCTTCACATGCTGGCGCTGCCTGGCTTCCTGATAATCTGGGCACACAGCACCAGAACTTGGTATCGGCCAGTACCGGAAAAAGTATCGGTACATACTTCAAAATATGCTATGGTTTCCATGTACGTTATACATTATACTAAGTCATGGCTATGTACACACTGTTATTTTCTGTCACATAATACTCCTCCTTTTATATTTACTGTTTTGCATTTTTTTTTTTATATCCCTTATGTCGAGATTATTGCTTATCTTTATTGTAAAACTCTTCTCTTATACATAATCTACAAACTGCTGAAACAGTTACTGAACTTTCAACGTGCTAGATAAGTCAATGAACTGTATAGGTTTATGGGTAAAGCAACCTAGGATGCCTGCTATAAAACATAGATTGTAATGCAGTCAAAGTCATAAACACTCTGAGAAACGCCTGTCTGGCAGCACATCCAGTCTACATCTCTTACTGTAAGTTAACTACTTCACCACGTGGAGAGGCAGCTGTCTGCAAAACAATGTAGAGTGCTTGGCGATTTCCAAATCACTAAGCTTACATAAGGTTCATTTTTTTTTATATTCACAAAGGCTGATACTCTTGTATATCCCAAAAGCCGTGTGGTAGTTTCAGTGTGAAGGAAAGAATTTCAGGCCTGGCAGGCATTAGTGGTCTTATAAAGAAGCAAAAAAAAAAAACATGCAAGCTTTTGATCAATGGATTATGTTTACAGAGTTATAGTACAGTGTTCACGCATGTCATTACACTACATACCGGCAACTGGTAAAGAGGAATATCCACTTGACCAAGAAAGTCATCTCTGGTCTACAAATGAAAAATAAATATCATTAGAAATCACTGGAACTGGGTTGTCTTGAATGGTACTGCAGCATATTTAAGGCAAAATTTCAGGCAAACAGATATACAAACAAATAAAATGCATACAATGGATCTGCCTTAACTGCTAAGATTCCTATTTCTGTACATCCAGTTCCAAGATTTACAAAGCTCTGCCACATGGCACAGTCCTGTCTGCCTGGACAGGATGCCTTTCTCTGCTACAGTAAGGTAACACTTAAGGTGCCCATACACTGCTCGATTCTCGTACGAGAATCGCGGGAAATCCCGCGATCGTACGAGAATCGAACAGTGTGAACGCAGACGTGGTTTGAACGGTGCTCGGGAGACAAATGGCGAACGGGCCGGTGTGCGCACGCGCACACTGCCCGTTCAGCATTGCGGTCATCGGAAGCCCGCTCCTAAGGGGGGCGGGCTTGTGATGATCGAGAGCGCGATCTGCCTGTCCAAGATGGGCAGATTGTACGTTTTTTTTACAACGTTTTTTTTACAACCATCGCAAGACTAAGGTCTTGCGATGGCTGTACAGTGTATGGCCACCTTTACAGATCTTGTCCCTCCCCCACCCTGTGACAGAACAGTGAACAAAGGAGAACAAAGGAGAAGGATTATTGATGAGCTAAAGTCTCAGTCACTCTGCTATTGCCTCCTATCAGCATGTCCCTTATTAGCACGAGTGTTACAGCACAAAAAGCTTTAAATAGCAATTCCAAGGGAAACAAGTGAAACCAGTCAGTGAACTGGTAATACTATTAAGTATACAATACACATGTACTAATGTCAGAGTTCTCGGTGTGACAGTGGATGTGTTTGGGAATAACGCTCCTGTTTACAAACTTGCAAGAACTAGGGTAGCCCGATTGCTGACAGATGGATGTGGTATGGAGCAAATTTCCAGAGCAATACTTGACTTTCCTCAAAGTAGCCAACTAAAGATATAGCTCATTAGTGGATAAAAGACATATGTATCAGGGATAGGATTGAAACACATGGGCACTGCATTCTACAAAGATGATGGCCTACAGTAACAGTGACCTAAAGTTGTGTGCCTCGGGCTCTACCAAAGAAAACTGATGTCTAATGTTTGTGAAAGAAATGTTTGTGAAGGTATATGAAATAAAATTGTCTATTATTCAAAACATGTTATCAGATTTCACTCATCTTTCTTTCAGCAGCAAGAAGTAGCCAGGTGCATTGTCCATGTCATCTTGACTACAAAGAGTGGGTAAGGAGCCCTGCAGCTTCATGACTTATTCAGAATGTTCTGGGTTTTATTTTAACTGAAGGTATATGGAAGAAAACTGTCTATTATTCAAAACATGTTATCAGATTTCACTCATCTTTCTTTCTTTCTTATTTCAGATCCTTTGACAATATGCCCGGGCCGTGCCTCATCTGCACTCAAACATCCAAAAAAGTAACTGCAACAGGTCAAGGATGGAGAAGGAACCACAGGCAGAATATTCAGAGTAGTCAATATGAAAGCACCTAAAACTATTATTGTACTATTTAAACCAGGGATGCACCAAATGGAATTTTGAGACCGAAACAGAAAATAAAAAAAATTGTCAGGCTGAAACAGAAAAAATGACTTTTTTTGCAATCTTTTTTTAAAATTTAATTATTTTTCAACTATTTATTTTTTTACTTTACCGTTGGGGGCTTCAGGGAAATATTAGGGGTCTAAAAATACGCCTGATATTTCCCTTTTAAAATAGAAAAAGAGATTGAGAACACAGAGCCCTTAATGTCCTTTTCTGCATCCCCTGTTATAAATTAACAGGAATCCTCTATACTGATTGCTCCTGTTCAATCATACATTGTGGAGATAGTGTACTTACTATGTCCACAACCATGAATGAACAGGAACTGATATAGATCACTTCCCATGCATTCATAACTGGGCACAGTAATCGTACTATGTCCAGTTATTTACAAACATTCACTAATCAGCTGATCGCTGAGTGATTGCATACGGCTCTCCACCCTGGGGGGCGGCCAGTGGGGGAGGAGAGCTCCACCTTCTGTGCAGATCACATCGCTTTCCTCCATTTACTGCTCTCCATCCTGACACAGGAGGAGGGGCTTTCCTCCAATACCTCCCGGCTCCGCCTCCTATGTCAGGATGGAGAGTGCTGTGATCTGTCACAGGAGGCAGAGCTCTCCTCCCCCACTGACAGATCACAGCTGTCACCACCCCGCACTGCTCTCCATCCAGACACAGGAGGCTGAGCCGGGAGGAGAGCTCGGCCTCCTGCAACGATCACCGCCCGCTTCTCTCCTCCCCACTGGGCGCCGGCTCTGCCTCGGAAGGTACACAGACGGGGAACAGAGAAGCTAGGGATACACTGAATTTTCAGTGCATCCCTAATTTAAACAATACAGGAACTTCTGTTTCCCTGACCAGTCCCTTTGGACCATGATCAGATATCTTGAAATTTATCACAGGTTAACTGAATATGTTTTTTTTTTCTTGACTAGCAAAATTCTCTCCCCAGATAATTCAGTCTGACACCAGGGTCGGGTTGTAAAGCAGGTTGTAACTCCTTGTAACACGATCACTAAACACCAGCTTTGTCTTTAAAAACAATACACTGTCCGGACAACAGTAAAGCTAACTAAAAATGTAGGTTTCTGTGTTCATATGCAGCAACTGCATATGCCTGGTTCATGTACGTTTAGTGTACATTGTTGGCATGTTTTTTAAAAATACCTCTGCAAAGGTGAAAATGGATTTTAAGTCTTTTGTATAGTAAAACACTGTTGCATTTGCCTTACAAGAACTATAGTACAAATCAGCTTAAATTGCCATGAAATCTGTATCACTGGCATTTAATGCCACATGGTGAATGCATTAGCAGTGAACACTGGTTTATAAAAATATTTCAGCAAAACTAGATAATACAATTGCAATAACATTTGTTATTACAGTCAAATAAAAAAAAAGCTGCAAGATAATAAAGACTGATTTGATATGGAGCATGAATCAATTTTTACAGGTTAGACAAGAACATTAGGCAGAGTTTCAAATCTGAAAAGGTGAAGCTGTCGACTTTACCTTATATAGTTAAAAGCAGCGTTGGTTAACCTTCTCGCTATAGGGGGCCATAAATAGGGCTCCTGACATCACTAAAGAGTTGCACACAATATTCAGGACACAATATTTGAGACTGTTAAAGAGCATGTTTATTACACCCCATTGTATATATCGATGTACCCATATTTTTGCTCTCTTGAGCCCTTTTAAAATTTACTTGTGCCACTAAGCAAGATCCATAATAAAAGATCAGAAGAAGAAAAAAAAACTTTACAATACAGAAAAAAATAAGATCGCGTGAAAGAAATAAACCAAACCATTTAACTACCAGAAGACAATATAAAGAATATGTTCCCTTCCCTGGCCTGAGTAAGCAACTAGATAAGAAAAACACAATTTACCATATGAAAGGGTACACAGGGCCACGTGAGGCACTCAGGTCAAAGGCTGGGCACCAGGCTAGAAAACATCTCTTGGAAGATATACTGTATGTGTAGTGGTATACATCAAAAACCTTTATTATGAATCTATATATAATATTATTCTGGCATAACTATTAGGAGAAAGGTATTTTAAAGCTCCTGAAAAGTGCAAAATCTTACCAAATGCACTGTCAAAGGTCTCCACATATCTACTGCAGTCTGTGAAAATGATTGCTGTTGCTAATAACATTTAAAACTACTACTACTTAAACAAAAAAGGTTTATATATGATATTTAGTTTTTTAAAGACATATAAGAGTCTGGTAAAATTCTGAAACATGGGGTTAACTATCCAATGAAGAAACATTTTCTATGACAAAAGTTCTAGCTGCCTCCTCGGTATGTAAAGCTAAAACAAAACTGTTGTTTGAGAGAGGTTTTACAAAAAAGACCTTCACAAATGATCATTCCTTCTACTTCCCTAATCTTGACCCTAACAAACATAACCAGAATACTCTAAGGATCACCATAACCACACATAAAAAACTGCCCACAAGAGTACATACACCAAATAACTAAAATATAAACATTTATATCACTTGAAGACAAAACACGTCAACATTGTATCGATGTATCCTCTTATGCACGGCATATCATATTCACCAGCTGAGCAACAAATTACAGTGTTATAAGCCAAAATGACTCGGTTCCTTAGTGAGCTGACCTTGTTGCTGAGACTAACAGAAGTAGAAACCATCATCACATTATTATCCTATTAGAGAACATGTTTCTATGTGTCTTCTGCATATCCAACCTGTCCAACTGCAAGCCACTTGGTAAAGGATCATAAACCACTGTCTAGATTGCAACCCACAAGTTACAGTAAATCAATCTGCCCATATGGTTTGCCTATTTAGGAATGTATGCCTTGAAGGCATCATACTACAATTAAAGGACCATTAAACCCACCCCTTTTTTTGCATATATCTGCTGCTAGCAAGCAGTAGATATATGCAAAAAATTTAATAAAAAAAGGGTTAACCTGTGTCTCCGCCGCGTGCTGCCGTCTTAAGAGCTGAAGATTCTCGGGCAGCCGCAAAGGATCATGGGGCGGCCACATACACAGTAGAGATCTTCAGCCGGGAGAAGAGGAGAGACACAGGGTAAGTCAATGCAGGCACCGTGCACCCGCACAGGCTCGGTGGTACAGGAAGGGACAAGAGTCAGCGATGGATCAGAGACCGGCACCAGCACTGGAGGGACCCCTGAAAACTACTGGAAGGAAGATGATCAGATCAAGAGGCATCATTTCAGGTAAGTCCTTAAAGCAGCATTGGGGGGAGTTTTTGACTTTAATGTCACTTTAAAGTGCTATATCTGAAGACACGTGGCTCTAAATTGAAAGTAGATCTAGGGAGCCCTCAAAGAGTTTCATTTATCTCTCTCCATTGCTATCCAGACCAACTGAAATAGGTTAGCAAAAGAAAACTGGGGAAACAAATCTCGGT